TCCACGGCGCTGTGGAGTCCCTGCAAGGGGCCAGAGATGATGGCGACTGTGCGCATTTGGGGGGTTTCCGACCTTGGGGGTACCTTCTTGGGGTCCGTATGATAGGGGATCCTACAAATACTTCTTTGGGGAGCTATATTAGGGGTTACTTTCGTAAACCCCCCATTTGACATAGTGAACGATTGGGGACATCTTCCGGTTGGGCGTTAGATGCCTTGCCTCTTTAAGGCACCATGCTGTGATGCACTGGCGCTGTGAGAAAGGGACTGGGCTAGTAGCAGCCCTCCCATGCCCAGTGCCTCGGCCGTTGGAATGCGGGCTGCAGATGCCTTGGTCGCATAGGCCGAATACTCTCATACGAAGATCTAGCCGCTAAGAGACAACAATAAGGCAGAACAGAAGCAAGAATGGCAATTCAATACTGATATGAGGAGCCATATCATCAAGTGGTATCTAAAAGCACAAACCAAATGCTCAGTCGACTGCAAGCAGCTTTTGACGTCCCAGCATTTGGGGGTTTACGATATAGACCCCCAAATAGTAGGATCCCCCTACAATAAGGACCCCAATAAGGTACCCCTAATGTCGCAAACCCCATTTTGAGAACCAGATCCAAGTTGAGGGCTGGCAGGCCCCGACTGCTTTCGTGGTGGTAGCCGACGGTCAGCCTGTGCTTAGTGGGCGGGCTGGCAGAAGCAGTCCCTAAACACTAAACCCTGAACCCTAAACCCTAAACTCTAAACCCTAAACCCTAAACCCTGTTCTCACTCGTCATGAAAGGGCGCACCTTGCCATCACGGCTCCACGGGCCAGGGCCTCGGCGTTCTCTGAAGCTCAGCTGGGGGCTTACGAAAATCGGTGACCCTAAAATAAACCCCAAATAGTAGGATCCCCTAAAACGGGTGACCCGAATAAGGTACCCCCCATATATATATAAACATATACATATATACATATACATATATATATATATACATATACATATATAGATCGTAAAACCCCCCAGCTCGGAGGGCCGAAAAAAATCGAAAAGCGGGTGCGCCGGGATCAGCGCTGTGACCCCGCGATGGAGGCTCGGAGCAAGGCAACAGCGCTGCCTCTAGCTTGGTAGGGTTTAGGGTTTAGGGTTTAGGGTTTAGGGTTTAGGGTTTAGGGTTTGGGGTTTGGGGTTTGGGGTTTGGGGTTTGGGGTTTGGGGTTTGGGGTTTGGGGTTTGGGGTTTGGGGTTTGGGGTTTGGGGTTTGGGGTTTGGGGTTTGGGGTTTGGGGTTTGGGGTTTGGGGTTTGGGGTTTGGGGTTTGGGGTTTGGGGGGGGTTTGGGGTTGGGGTTTGGGGTTTGGGGTTTGGGGTTTGGGGTTTGGGGTTTGGGGTTTGGGGTTTGGGGTTTGGGGTTTGGGGTTTGGGGTTTGGGGTTTGGGGCATTGATTAGGGGATAGGATAAGGGGAATGTTGGGGATGTAGACCCTCGGAATAAAGTGCCTGTTTAAGAGAGCCAGAAGAGGGTTCAGAAGGGTTCCCTTTTGCATCCTACCTAGGGCTGGTAACTTCACGAAGCCCACAGAGCCTGTGCCTAAAGCTCGCTGGCGGAATATTTGCAACGGAAGAGGGAGCAAAGAATGTGTCTTTCCCTGATGCATCAGGCGTCACACTGCTGACAAGCTTAGGATGCTTTGGCTCGGGATGCTCCCCCTTATACTAACAGCCCATAAGAGGGATCATAATCGGGGGGTGGGTAGATTATAATCCCGATTATAAGGACTGTTAGTATAAGGGGGACACATCCCAAGCTTTGGAAAACTCAGCGGTCATCTCATGGTCTCCATGAGATGACACAAATGACAGGCCGTGGCAGCCTGCAGCACGGCGAGAGCGCTGCCAGTGGCGGCCCCTCCATCACCTCGTACGAGCTTGGCTTGTTATTCATATTATGATTATCATGATCATTATCATTGTTAGCATTCTTAGTACTATTAGTTCTATTACTATTCGGATTATTATTATTATTGGCATTATTAGTTTATTGTCTCATGACAATGAGATACCCGCAAGATGAGGATGCCAGACGGCCTGGTCTTAAGCCCGTCACTAGCTGGACGAGTGATGGGAGGAGGACGCAAGCTTGCCATCAGCTCCTTAGGTGCAAGGGTTTTAGGGTTTAGGGTTTAGGGTTTAGGGTTTAGGGTTTAGGGTTTAGGGTTTAGGGATGTACACTGCCGAGGTTGCAAGTGCACAAGGGCCCAAAACCGTGCTTGCACACGTGGTCTGTTGAAGGTATGCGCACCTCCATGCGAGAGCCGTGCAAAGTGGCGCTAATGATCTTCCAAGCGGCTTCGAGGCTGTCGTCGAGCTCGCCCGGCCTGCCTTGCATTCAGTTTTTAGGGTTTAGGGTTTAGGGCGAGGTTTAGCATGTTTACTCCCGCATGTGGCTGTCATATTGACAAGATTGTATGCGTGGACTTCAGTCAGTTCAAAGTGAAGGCAGGCAGAAGCACCAGGTAATTGCAAAGACGTGCGCAGGCGCAGCCACATTGTCAGCACATTGAACCAATTGCTTTGCAGGCGCCTTTGGGCATCACCGTGGCATCCTTGCCTGGGCTCTGACAACTTACTGCTGGCGAGCTGTGTCTCTACCAGCCAGCATCTGTAAGAGTTTAAAGCAGATCGGCACACAAACTTTACGAGTTAATGTCGAGAGTCCGTCACCGGCCATCTGGGGTGGATCCGACGCGTATCTGGCAGCGGGTGCAGGAAGCTACCATAGCTGCAATGATGCGGAGGTCTACCAGACAGCGCGTAGGACACACGTGGACAACGTCCCCAGGTCCCACAAGTCTGCAGGCTGCATCAACTTACGAGTCTAGGAGGTTGATTCTCATGAACATGCCTCACCGGTGACTGCGAAAGACTCTGCTCGTGTGAGCGCACCATGTCTTCCGCATCGGCTGGCACAGGGTGTATAACAATAATGTATTGACATAGCAATCAAGTAAATTTATTGCATCATGATGCAATAAGTACATTCTACAGTAAGTGGAATGCATACTAACATGTGTGATTATATACAACGACTTGCACTAACTAGCAAAAACATAAAGAATAATAAAAAGAAATAATAATCATCATCATAATCATAATAGTACTGATAGGAGTAATAATAGTAGTAGCAATAATAATAATCATAATCAGAATCATAATCTGCATTATTATTGTTATTGTTATAGAAATAACAACAGTAATCGTAATCGTAATAGTGACAATAACACGAATAATGGGAATATAAGAAAAACAATAATGAGAAAAAGGAATAATAATCAGAATGATGAGACGAATAACTACAGCTCCCGGATGCCTCTGCAAAGGCAGGCCCAGAGCCTGCCGGCTGGGGCTGCCGCTGGGCCGGCCTCCGCGGTCCCCAGAGGGTTTGCTTAGATGTTGGCTAGTCGGTTTAGGGTTTAGGGTTTAGGGTTCCACCCTCCTTATTTCGCTCCAGAGCACAAGCACCTCTGCGCAGGCCCCGGCCGAGGCGGGTCGCAGCATTTAAAAAGAAACAGAAAGAGAGCGAGAGAGCGAGAGAGCGAGAGAGCGAGAGAGCGAGAGAGCGAGAGAGCGAGAGAGCGAGAGAGCGAGAGAGCGAGAGAGCGAGAGAGCGAGAGAGAGAGAGAGCTGTATATATGCACATGTATGTATATATATATATATATATGTATATATATATATATATATAGACACCAACACAATACAGACAACAATAGGAGCTGCAAGCCTGTAGGCGAGGCTTCGTCGCTCGGCCGTGCCATGCGACGCCCCATAGCGCCCAGTGCACCAACTGGCCGATGTGGTGAAGCTTTGGAACGCTTGGGTTGAGGGTTTAGGGTTTAGGGTTTGGGGTTTGGGGTTTGGGGTTTGGGGTTTGGGGTTTGGGGTTTGGGGTTTGAGGTTTGGGGTTTGGGGTTTGGGGTTTGGGGTGTGGGGTTTGGGGTTTGGGGTTTAGGGTTTGGGGTTAAACTTGAAAAAAAAGCAGAAAGATGTAAGCTGGCAAGCGGTCCACAAATACGCATTCTGGAACAGGGTCTGTTCAGCCGTGTTTGTTCGGGCCCGGTCTGCAGACCAGCACTCCCAACCCGGACCTGATAGGGGCTTGCGGTCGCAGACCATCGCAGGCCTATCAGGTTTCCTTGGTTTTCCGGTTTTCCTGTCCTATCCCGTCATCAGGTGTGCAAGCTATCAGTGAACCTTTTACAGGCGAGCCTGCGGGCTTGCGGCTGCGGGCGGAATGCCCGCTTGGGATGAGTGTCGCCACGCCGCCTTAGAAGCTGGCTTGCAGGATGCAACTGCAGGGCGCAACACCTCTTAAGCCAGCTCCCGCTTGACAAGTCCAGCTGCTCACTTTTTATCCCGTTTCACGACATGAATGTCTGAATTTCAATGCACAAGATGAGAGGACACCAACTCCAAGAGCATGGCTGTAGGACATCCCGCCAAAGCCGAACGCCTCTTTCTTGGTTGATTTCGGCTTTCACACCAGAGGCGTGCTTGACCAATATCGTGCAATCGGAGTAACGCAGCCGAAGAGTCTAGCAGTCTAGAAACGTGAGGACACAGTGTCACCTTCAGGCTGCGATTGCAAAATCTTGCTTGCACCAAGAGGACCCGCCTCCGAGCAGCTCTCGCGTGCTCGCTACTGGAACATATGCCATAGGCGGCTGGAGCTGAAGCTGTGACTGCTTACAGCACAAGTCACGTAGACACCCAGCAGGCTGCTTGGCTTGAATGGGATGTATGAACTGGCTTCATGAGCCAAGCGCAAGCCATGAGTGCCAACAAGTGACTGTAATGTGACGTCACCTTCACTCTCAGATGCTGAGGATGGCGAAAGTGGCCATCGGGCGAAAGCACTGACACAAATCGAGCGAAGTGCCGCACGTCAGGATGCCACTAGCAGCTTTCGAAGAGCATGATGCGACAGCGACTTGGTGCAACTCACAGGCATGCAGGAGCAGACCGTCGCCAGGCATTGCCAGGCAAAACACGGAGTCCACATAGAGCGCATTGCGCTCAGCCTTCCAGCCAAACAGGAATCTTCTTCGATACCAAGCAGGAACCAGCCTAGTGAGACTCCAGTCACATCCCCCCACCCGGCCCCAGATTGTGGCCTCATAGTCCCGAGCGAATCGGTATCTCGCTTCTTCGTGTGCGTCGAACACCTGCAGCAAGACTAGCTGAAGTTCGCACGTCCACTGAGCGATATCAAGCGCAGACGTCAGCTGCAAGCTGTGGACCAAGAGATCTACCGCAAACCCTTTCGTACCCTTTCGGCACTTGGGGTGTGGACGACCATGACAAACGCACCAGGATCCAACAATCCAACAAAGCCAGACAAGGCTGCGCACTGCGGTTCCTCTGGAAGCTGCGCGTTGCTTGACATGCTTTTTGGGCTGCTTTTTCTTTGCCTTACTGGCGAGGTCGCAGCTTTCCGTCTGGGTGTATGTTAGTGTATATCATTAAAGAACTATGTAACAACAATGTTTGTCTTCATTCCTGCTTTAGAACCGTCCAAGCGTCGCTGCGGGGTCGCACGAAATTCGGAGCATGATGAGTACTCCTAAACTTCCAGAGGTAGTTCTTCTTCTTCTTAACAAACAGGGGTTAGAAGAGAAGTGAAAGTCGAGGCGAGGTTTTTGGATAATCAGCTTTGCTGGCGCTGCCATACACCACGAGCCGGGCTACTGCTTTACATTCTCTCCATAATTGTTCTTACTTCAGTTCTAGTTCGGATCCACCTGTCCAGCTCTTCGTCGATGCTTTTGCTTGTTGGGGACTGCCTCTTTCAATACATTTGTGTTTGCTTCATAAAGCTTCACCCCAAACCCTAAACCCTAAACCCTAAACCCTAAACCCTAAACCCTAAACCCTTCATGTACTCCGGGATTTCTGGCTGCTGTCTTCCAGTAGCTTTGCACCCCACTCGCCCGTCCCCACGGTACTCCTTTCAGAATTTTCACACGCCCAAAGACGCAAACATAATGGGCTTCGTCAGACCAAGGCACTTTTCAGGACCACTCTCAGATGTCCCTATAGACCCTGCACTAACCCCTGGAACATTTTAGACCCCAAGCACCACACCCTCCCGCCCCCTCAACACACCCCGCTTCCAGGACAGAGGTGTTGGGAAGGCCAGGCCTGTATGAGCAGCCGCTCATCCTGCAGATCCGGTCGCCCAACAGCTTCGGCGACAAGCAGCCTCTGCCCACAGAGAAGTGAGGCATGAGGTGGGAGGAGGATGTTGGGTTGACCTGGACATGCTTATGTCAAGCCGCCGTTTCTCTGCATTGAGAGGATCGAGTCGTAACAAATGCTCGATCGACAGTCTGAGCAGAGAGAGCTGTTTTTTTTTCTTCCGGGGCATTCAGTCTCTAGCTCTCGGCGCCGAACACATGTAAACCATGCCATCGCTGGCAGCATTACAGAGCCGACGGGATGTTTCACGATAATCATTGGCCGCGTTCTGTATCAATTTATCGTCGGATGCCTCACGCAATCTGCAGACTTCGGCCAGAAAGGGGCCGAAGTGATTCGAATCGTCTTACCGACTTCCATCAGAGGAATCCTCAGTGTCGTCGAACTCCTCCCCGTCCGCCAGCTTTGCGAACCCCGTTCGGACTCGATTGCCTTCCTTAGATAGAGATGTCGCAAGTGACTCTATAGCACAAGCCATGCAGATCTAGGCAGGAAAGTGCAAGCACGGTCGGAGTATGCGAGTATGCTCTGAGCGTCCTCCACACTCAGCTCCTTCCAGCCCTTGTCTCTAAGGTGTTTCTGCACCTCAGCCGGGCGCGAGCCCATCACCGCGTCGAGGACTGCGACCTGCAAGAACATGCAAAGGAACATAAAGAGCAGTGTCGCTAGTGCGGCTTCGTTGAACACTTGGTGGCTTCGACAGCTTTGGCAGTTGCTAGACTCTGCCTGCTCGCGAACCTCCAGTACGTTGAGCCGATGCTCAACGGCAATGCCGGCTTCGTCGACCATTTCTTAGAGCCAATGGTGTGTGACAACTTATGACAAGGAGCCTCCGGCTATTTATATTAATTGTCTCCGTAGTTTCTGGCGTTTCTCTAGTAGTTTCAAGATATTTCGCACTTGGTTCCCACAAACACCACACTACACTGATCGAACTCCATGGCAGGTGTCGTAGATCAACACCTTGACTGCGCAGCTCAAGTAGCTGGCCGTCCTTCCTGCGGAGTTCAAAGCCGATGCGCTTCAAGTGGTTGCTGATAGCGATAGCGATCCTCGGATTGTGCAGCTCACGCTTCGTGTTACTGCCAGTTGAAGCTTCCAATGAGTTACGACTCGTGTGCCCACCTACCTGCCGACACCAACTGAAATAGAGCAGAACTCCAAGCATAACGCCCGAGACATGCCTGGCGACCCAACGTGCAAGGAACGCAGCCAAGCATCGCAGGACAGAAAAGAAATCCAACCAACATGGCCATCAGCACAAACAGCATATTGCTCCATGGAGAATGTGCGCAAACAGAGACGTGCACGATCCTGAGAAAGCACGGAATTCAAGTCCTGACTGCAACATGAGGAGAAGCAGTGGCCCTTGGCCTGACTTCGGTGCTGCCCAGGTGCTGGTGGTAGTATGGCCATATATTCTTCGCATGGAAGAAGTCATAGGCTGTATGAGTGCTGTTGAGGAAGGAGTGGACGAGCGGCTTTGGGGTGATGTTCTCCAAGCCCGGGCAGGTGAGGGCCCCGGCGTCCACCACCCAGTCAATCAATGAATAGAATCGCAGCACCGAGTAGAGGGCCGCTTCGAAGTTCGACACCAAGGTGGCCAGGGGGTTCACGTTGGTACCGTAGATGTAGTAGTTGCCAATGTGCTGGAGAACTTCATCTATGTTGTGCTTCTCTGAGACCAGGTCAGAGATGTCTAGTCGTTTAAGAGCCTCTCCAAATGGGCACGTTGCATAGCGCGGCTCATGATCGAAACATCTTACCAAATCTTGCTCAATGCACTTCTGAAAGCGACAGCATGACGGTGAAGCCAACAGAACAGAGTGTGGATGCAAAGACACTGCAGTCATAGAAGCCCGTCGGGAACTAAGCAGCCCCAAGCAAACCTGCCAAGCCGACCAAGCCTCAACAGAAGACCAGACGAGCAAGGACCTCCACAAACCAAAAGCACAACCTGCCATTTTCACATGTTTCTGGCCTGAACCAAGTTGTCATCCACATGTAAGCAGAAGCCGCTCACGACCAGAGAAAAGAAGAATGCACCTGCACCCAGAATACCAGCAGTCACCATGAAGATCACGATGATCGGGGCAAACGATTTGAGTGCGCACTTCATACGCGGTGCATACAGCAGCCGTGGCTTGTTCCATATGTAGAATGCTGTTGACAAGATGGCCACAACGCCAACAACCAGCACGATGCTGGGAATGAAGGGATAGTAGATCAGCTTCCAGCCAGTTTGCCTGACGATGTTCTGGATTTTGTGAAGCAACTTCTGTGTCGTGGTGAAGGACTCCCTCACAAGGAGAAGAATCGCATCCACCTCAGCGAACTGAGCCTGGAGCGCGCCTGCCAGGAGTTCGACCAGGTGTTTTGCCAAGGGATTGCTATCTCCACAAGTCTGTGGGATGGTGACCAAGCTCCTGTTGTAGCTTCTTTCTGCTTCGAGAAGCTGTTGCGACATGTCTTCGAGGGCCTGCATGGATCTTTCCAGGTACGCAACCCGCTCTGCAATCACATCAATCTCCTTTGCAACCGACATGAAGCGCATGACCTGCAAAAGTGCAAAGAGCGCCATGCAGATGAGCGTCAGTACGATAATTCCTGTTCTCCTCTCTGGAAGAAACTCACATTCATCGCCAACGGAGCATTCAATCACCCACAGCGTTTTGTAAGCAAACCAAATCGCGGCGAGCAGGAACACGCCGGGCATCACGAGGCAGCTCATAGCCCACTCATGCCACTTCTCCAAGTCCGCACTTGGTAAGGGCACCGGTGCCGCCGCTCCAAGCCGGAGGATGACGTCGTTCTTGAAGGTCGGCTTCTCGGGAACAGCTCCCATGAAACACCTTGCGACTTGTGGGAACGCATCTGCATAGCAATAGCCTGGCTCTGCAAAGCACGCGCCCAGAACGCACTCTGAGTTTTCCTGGCAAACTGTTGCGGATGTTAGGCAAGTCCAGTATTTGTTCGTTTTGGCGCAGGGGACACAGTAAGCTGTGCAGGTTGGCCAAGTACAATCTTCAGACGTGTTTGGCCTCGTGTCATACAAACGAATCTTGGCAGCATCGCCGACCACCAAACCCATTACTGTGTCCATGAGCTCGCTCTCGTGGTTGGGCCCTGTTTGGTTGTTTTCCATTTGTTGCATGTCGTGTATGAGGTCGTTTGCCTCTTCCTCCGTAAGTGCCGGTAGCATCTGGCTGGCTGCAAGGGGAAGAAACAAGAGTGGCAGAGACAGGATGCGGCCATGCCTTTGTGGCCGCATACTCAACTGCCTAAGCACCTGTACTTCCTAAAAGAGACCGATTTGTTGAGCCAAATTCTTTTCAGACCGTAGCCACTGACTCCCTCTGCACTCTGGCGACTCTGACCCACGAGATAATTACCGATGGTCATCAGCGCAGCTGTAGCTTGACTTGCCAATCCCAGCAAGCGCAGGCTCCGCACCTCTCCCGGAAGACGAAATACGGGGGCTTGTCCTGGTGCAATCAGTCACACTTTAAAGCTGGCAGGAACATTAACTTTCCGCTACATTCCAGCCTTGATTGAACCGGCAAAGGACACGACCAAGCGTCGAGGAGTGTTGAGCATGGTTTCCTGTGCAAGCACACGCAGCTACTCGGCATCAGCATTGCCCTTCAGACTGCCTCCTGCCCGCAGTCGTACTGCGTGAAGTAGGGAACGGGAATCACACGAAGCAATGGGTACAGCCTGGTCGATGTGTGACAGATTTCGTCGGATTTGCAATGGCTGCTGACGTCCCCCTGAAGGCCTAGCCACCTGCTTTATGTTGAACTCCCCTCCTCCCGAAGCATACAAGGCCCTGTCCCAGTGATGTCATTGACCCTTGATACGGTGGAGTTCACTACTATTTGCTTAAGAACCCCAAAAGAAAAATAATAATCCCTATATTGCCCTTAATAAGGAAGATAGTAGTTCACAAGTCCGATTAGGCCGGCTTTCTGATTCTCTATGTGCAAAACCATATTCCGTCCAGAACACAAGACCTGCCGTGCATAACCTACGCACACATTCTGTTGAGTCACGCAGGCGACTGAGTCGCGATGAAAAGGTAGGGATTTGCGAAAGAAGCACATCACACCATTGAGGTTGGCACCCTGCATCCAACAAAGACGATCGGCGACCCTGGTTCCAGAGTGAGACCTGCACAACGAAGAAGTTGTCCACTTAGCGCCGGCCACTTGAGAGCAACAGCGAACGAAAATCATCAAAGGGCTTCAAAAAGATTAGGGCTTAGCGGCTTAGCGTTTAGGTCAAAACAGGCCACGGAACAGAGCCGAGCTCCCCCGGGCAGCACAGCTGGGACACGTTCAAACAGCGAGACCACATGCAAGAGCCGCCGGCGTGATTTCGGGTTGAGGGTTGAGAACTTGCTTGGCGGTTCACGGTACTTCATAACCCAGTTATAACTGTACTTATCACCCAATTATGGCCATGCTAGGACATTCGGGTTAGGCGATTGCTTTGTAAGCCGCCGGCAGACACAAGGATAGCATTTCCCAAGAAGGGGGAATAGCTGTCGAGGACCAAGTGCCTGCAAACGTTCCGACCGTTATGTTGGAAGGCTTCAATATGACTCTACCAGAACAAACTGAATCAGGCAGCTCTATGTCGCGCAATGTGCAACCGAAGATTCTGCACGTATGTCTGCACGATTTGGCAGTTTGAAGAGTTTGAGTGAACAAGCTGGGCAAAGCTTACCTGCAAACTATGCCCAACACACACAACTGAGCGTGTGAACGCGGAAATCTTTATTGATATCATTTGCTATTTGAACACGTCCTGAGGCACAGACCGAATCACCATCAAAATATCTGACTGCCGTACGCGACCTGCCTCCAAAAATGCTGGCTTTTTAGTAGAAACCGAATAGCGCCTGACGATGCGGTGGATTGGGCCCTGCTGCAGGTACCTTCCCACACCCTGCTAATGGAAATCAGGCTTGTGGGAAAGTAAACCCTAAACCCTAAACCATCCAAGCCTGCCTGGCTTGGCATTTGCATGTGTGGGAAGGGGGGGGGGGGGGGGCATGGAGGTCATGGTGACAGGGCTGGCACGCTGATCTGGTGGTGGTGAAGCAGTGCTTTAGTGCAGGATGTGCATGTTATAGCTGTGCGGAGTGCGGAGTCGGTGATGACAATCATACAAATGGTAAAAGTAGCCGGAGTCGTAGGCAGTGCACTGTCGACACAAGACAGCACCCCACCTTTCTCCCGGATTGTTGGGTGATTCTGAGTTGCAGAGTGCAGGTCATGTCAGCACGAGAACGCACTTGGAGCTTCTTCTTTCGTCCTTTTTTTCAACCCCGGGCTTGTCAACGCTCTTCTACCCGCCGTGAATGAGGAGGCTAGGGCGAGCATTCATCCTATTCTCTCGCTCAGCCGTCCTTGCGCAGCTAGTAGAGCCTGCCTGCACGCAAGCGAATTCACCGAACTCACGCTGCAAGGGTCAGAGCCTTTTCAAGCGAACCCTCATATTCCTTCCTCCCTGAAGGAGCTCAAAGGCCTTCAGACGAGCGCCGTGCTAAGACTCTCGGCTCTTCGGTGCAGTGGCCGTCGCTGCGCTTTCGGGTGCACGGTGCCATAATGGGGGGTTACCGAAATTCGGGGTACCTTCTTGGGGGCCTTAATTCTACGGGAATCCTACTATTTGGGGATCTATATTAGGCGTCCCCCATTTTCGACAGCCCCAAATTGTCTACAGTAGCTCTTTGCCATTTTTTCACATCTAGCGTGCTGTCTCCAGAGCTGTCTCAAGGACACTGAAGTCTGTGCTGCAAACTGGGAGGTTGAGCGGCCGCCCCTGGGAGTTGGTACGCAGGATGATGTCCTCATACCTCTGCCAGCGATGAGCAGATCCCTTACACAAAAGGCTTGAGATGGCAGCGGAGACGTTCATGCTGGCACCAATGTGCTCCCGCCAACTGGGAGAGTCATATGGCTTGATGAGCCCGTGACAGGGAGGTGGTTCCTGGGTGTACAGATACAAGCATGTCTCTGCGCCTGCCCGTGCTTGGTGTGTGTAAGCTGCGTTGATGCCACAGTCATATGGATCGCAGGTGGCCACCAGGTCGTTCACCCGCAGGGCTCTTATCTGCTCCTGTGAGAAATTGAGCTCCTGCGTCATGACTACATTGAAAGGAGTTGGTGCAAATGTCAAGGCCTTCAGCCTCTTTGGCTGCTGCGCAGCTGTAACAATGGCGAGCATCCCACCAAGGGAATGACCTGTCAGAAGAAAGCTGTAGTCCGGTAATGCAGTCTGCACCTGGTGAACCAGCCGATTTGCCTGGGCAGCATAATCCAAGTACTGCTGATGCCGAGCACAACTTTCAGGTCTGAACCCACTCAGTTCAGCAACTTGCGAGGAGAGGAGGCCATAGTTCTGAATCCCGATCAGGTAGCACTGATCGATTTGGCATTGTTCGAGATGTGGGTCTGTACATACTCCCTTGAACACGACAAGTCCTGCCTTGCTCCCATGATCTACAAAGACTCTTGCGAAGACCCCGCCGGGGCTTGGGTCTCTGTCGAAATCTTGCAGCCTTTCCCACTTCCCAATGGACAGCGCGGTGTCCGTGCCAGCGCCAGCCAGTGCCAGGGGTCGGGACGTGTTGTACGTCAAGCTCACGGCCTTCACAAGCAGGGCCATGTTCGAGAGGAACGTGCCGGGAGGGCTATCGGTCAGGATCTCTTGCAGATCCCAGACATCGGAGCTACTGGAGATGGGCCCACGGTGCAGAAGGTGGGATTTCTGAAGCAGCTGCGTACTGGGCGTACTCTCATCGGCCTCCGCTTCCTCAAAGTCCTCACATGTCTGGCTCTGCGAAGACACCACTTGTAGTATGGCCAAAAGCGAAAGCAGCTTCATGATGGATTATCAGCATCCCTCGCTCAATAGCAGAGGACCACTGCAGGAAGCCATGGGTTTTCAGTGCTTCCTGTCTCAAACCGAGATGTTGCCGAAAGCAGAAGCTTGCGAAGTGCCACCCAAGATGCTAAGATGCTTAATCGAGCTGAGTGCATTAGACAAAGGATGGAAGCAACGGAATGGAACCAGACGTGGGCAGGTTCTCAACAGGTTTTGCCATTAGGACCGACTGCTTCCAGGATCTTTTTGGGGGGAAACACGAGATCGAAACTCGATTGCTGCACCAACTTGCTGGAAACATATGGAAACATTCCGCCTACCAATGATCTCGATGACCAAGTCCCCAGCAGCAGACATGGACACCAAAACAAGTCTGACACGTCCGTGGAAATCCCGCCTCACGGCGGCAAACTGGAAGCATCGCGCTGGGCATTCACCTGCAGTGGGATGCGGTGAGCAACAAAACCCTCCAGCCGGTACCAGATCGACCTGCCAACTCCGCTGCTGAAAGAGAAGAAGACGGCGAGCACGAATGGTTTAGGGTTTAGGGTTTAGGGTTTAGGGTTTAGGGTTTAGGGTTTAGGGTTTAGGGTTTAGGGTTTAGGGTTTAGGGTTTAGGGTTTAGGGTTTAGGGTTTAGGGTTTAGGGTGGCATTTACTGAGACTCGAACCACCCACCAGTCATCGGTGGTGAGGAGCGCGCGGGCCTTCTCCACAATCTCAAAGTATGACGCATCCTTCCATGCATTCTGGCACAAACACTATGGCCACAAACAACCTGTAAAATGCACTTCGCTACATCAAAAACCATACTGACTTCGTTCATCGCGATCGGGGCATTTGTCCTCCGGGCCCTTGGGCGTTTCAGCGCTCAGCTCTGCCAACGCCTGATCGCTCCCAGGCGAGTTGCTCGAAGAGACATGTTGGTGCGACGGTACGTCACGGCTGGTTTGCCATAGAGGCTGAGAGTGAAACCCTCTCCCGCCTTTCCAGCCCGCAAGCGGCAGCTTTGCAGCGTGCGCAGGAATTTGACCTACGGGCGCGCACAACGTCAAGGAGTGCCTTTACCCTAGCAATGATAGCCACAGAGCCGCAGCAGCTTGTAACAAAGCTAGCTTGCAAGTTCTGGCAGCTCCCATCCAGAGGGAAGCACCCCCAAGGAAACTAAACACATAAAGACCCTGAACCCTAAACCCTAAACCCGAAGCCCGAAAAACCCTGAACCCTAAACTCTAAACCCTAACCCCAAAAGCCCCTACTCCTTAAACGCCAGGCCTCAGGATCCGTCAAGTCGGGGTGCCAAATGTCCACAATCAGAACGAGGCGCGTCTCCGAGCCCTCGTGCCAAGCCTGGCCGATAAAGGTGCAAAGGGTTTGGGTTGAGGGTTTAGGGTGCATGAATCGACATCAAGGTGTTCTAGAAATTCCTAGATGCATGATTCCTACTGCTTTTGCACTAGTGCTTCTTCCGACTCCCCCCATACTTCTATCCTCCTATTCTCCTATACTCCTATCCACGACCACGACCACGACCACGACGACCACGACGACCACGACGACCACGACGACCACCACGACCACGACGACCACCACGACCACCACGACCACCACGACCACCACCACCACCACCACCACGAGGACGACGACGACGAGGGCGAGGAGGATGAGGAGGAGGAGGAGGAGGACGACGACGACCACGACCACGACGACCACGACGAGGACCAGGAGGACCAGGAGGACCAGGAGGACCAGGAGGACCAGGAGGACCAGGAGGACGAGGAGGACGAGGAGGACGAGGAGCACGAGGAGGACGAGGAGGACGAGGAGGACGAGGAGGACGAGGAGGACGAGGAGGACGAGGAGGACGAGGAGGACGAGGAGGACGAGGAGGACGAGGAGGACGACGAGGACGACGAGGACGACGAGGACGACGAGGACGACGAGGACGACGAGGACGACGAGGACGAGGACGACGACGACGGCTCCTGCTCCTGCTCCTGCTCCTGCTCCTGCGCCTGCGCCTGCGCCTGCTCCTGCTCCTGCTCCTGCTCCTGCTCCTGCTCCTGCTCCTGCTCCTGCTCCTGCTCCTGCTCCTGCTCCTGCTCCTGCTCCTGCTCCTACTCGTCCTCCTACTCCCCTCCTACTCCTACTCCTACTCCACCTACGCCTACGCCTACTCCTGCTGCTCCTGCTATTCCTGCTGCTCCTGCTGCTCCTCCTCCTCCTGCTGCTACCACTACCACTCGTGTACTACCACCACCATTGACACATTACCGCTACCCACTGTTTATTATGAAGGGCGGAGGGCTTAGACTTCATGCAGTGATAAACCATGAGAGCAGTTCAGTTCCGCCTCGTGTTCAAAGGAGTGGTCCCAGACAAAGGCTTCGCCTGCCTGTTCCACGCCAGGACAACTCACAAAGCCGCACTTCCAATTTCAAGGGCTTAGAACCTTAGGGTTTAGGGTTTAGGGTTTAGGGTTTAGGGTTTAGGGTTTAGGGTTTAGGTGTGCCTTCGGCTTGAGAATCACGTCCCCGACCTGGGAACAAAAACTCTCAAGAGACACCAAAAGAAACATGCCATTCCTAGAATCGAACTCTCCTGCGACATGGGGGTTTCCGAAGTTAGGGGTACCTTATTGGGGTCTTTAATTATAAGGGGATCCATT